CCAAAGCTCTGCGAGGTGCCTTTTAAGAACGCTGCAATCCTTGGTCAAATGTCCGGTTACTTTATGAATATCGCAATATAGACTTTCATCACGGACCCAAGTGTTCGATCTTCCTTTCCCTTGGAATTGCTTTCCGACGGTACTGTTGAAGGGTTGCGACCCAAATTTCCTTGGTCCTTTGCTCTCCCTAGATTCGAACTTCTTGGTAGGGACGGTGATTGCCGGCTTTTCTTGTTTATTCCTTTTGGCAAAACTTTCTTTTTCGTCCTCTACCTCCATCCAGTTATTCGCGCGGAAGAGTGCATCCTCCAATCCGCTGTAAGGGTCCAACTTGAGTTTCCGGGAATCTTTGATCCTAAAACTTGCAATTCGCGAGATGAAAGGTGTTCGCCTAGCCTCTTCAATGACTCGATTGATGTCTGGCTCCGAACTTGTAGCTTGATGAAATTTTGATTTCATTTCTTTTAATTCCTGGCTAACCTTCCTCATGGTCTCAAACTGGTCGAGGTTCTCCTGCTCGTATTGAGCTGCAAGTTGTTCTTCATCTCCGAGCTGTGTCTCTTCTTCCAACGTCTGAGCCATGTTATTAGTAGCACCAGGAGTTGTTTGTCCGCTGGTTTCATTTCGTGCAGCGGTACTTGGCGAGTTGAATATCCCTCTTCGGATTCCCACAAGGTTTCCTGCACTTAAAGAGCGAACACGAGTTTGTATAGTATTGACGTTTTGACTAAGAGATACCTGGGATGTTTGCAACGTATCGACGGCTTTTTCCACATCCGAGAACTTTTGTGATATGTCCGACATGGTTTGCTGCATAGCTTTGAGGGTTTCAGCCAATGATGTCTCAACGGTGTCTCCTCCGGACATTGTTGCTTATCTCGGAAGTGTAATAAAGAAAAATCTGACCACTCAAGAATCCTAATCGTCCCCACAGACGGCGCCAAAATGTGGATGTCGGATTCACACACTCAAGTATATTATTAAGTAGGAAAGATTATTCTTGAGGGACAAAAATGAATAAGTAAAAACTTCTAAATTGCTACGAAAATTGCTATAGTATTTCTTTCTTCAGAAAAAAGATCCCTTTTACATGGTCATTGGCCTTTTATTTATACATAGAGAAACGACATTAAAATGAATAATTAAGTACAATTATTCCTTCTTAAATGTGTCCGTTTTGATTCTTCGATTTTAATGCTCAACGTTTGAATTTGAGTTGACTCTGATCTTCATGGGCCTCGCCTTTTTGGCCCAAGTATCCTCGAACTGACTTACCCGTGTCTTCTACACCGAACTCGTACCACAGTGCAGTCACTTCGGATTCTCGAAGTGGTGATAACCACTTCGACCGGTCCTTCGGCTCATGGGCTCAATGGGCTTCGCCCTTTATGGGCCATTACCTTGACTACGTGGCAATCTTTGGTTGGTCTCGGACTTCTGGTGCGGGATCCGACACCAACATACGGTCAACCGAGTTATCTCCCCCACGTACACGATGACTTGTGTACGTACACTCTGCCAATAGACGACTGAATTCCCCTGGATGTTGAACCGTTTGTTGAGTGAGAATTACGTCCTCCTCAACATTCCCTATTCCATATTCTTCAATAATTACATCGTTCTACTTGTTGTAATCGTAATCTTCGCCACTGCCTTCACTACCGTCTATAGTAGGATCGAGGGTACTTCCCCCCATAGATCCATCATCACCCTAATAATCATCATACCCAGCACCATCTTCGTTGTCCTCCTCCTCTTCTTCATCCTCATCTGTTTTATCGTCTTCAACGTCGTCTTGCTCATCTACGGCCTCATTATTTCCATCTACATTTGAAGCCGCTACGATGGGATTTGGTGTCGTTGCACTCCCACACACACGGTATCTCTCACCATCGGTCCTAGGGACAGTATTCCCGAGTGCCTTGACGGTTGTAATGAAAGAGACAAACAAGGTGACACTAGGATCCCCACCACGAATCAAAAAGAAAGTATCCAGGCTCATTTGATTGTCAATGTAGACAGGAGGGCGTTTACTTTCTATCATCACTGACATCTTTCCCGGCATCCAGTAACTAATTATTGGATTGCATTCGGTGGACTTCAAACTGAAAACCTCGCATAATGTACGTACAAATGCCGTGTACGTCATGTTTTGCCTAACACGTACACAACGACCAAACCAGCCTTCCCATGGTTCAAATTTCCATTCTTCTTCTTTGCATTTCCACTCACCCACCATAGTAAATACGGGAATATCCATTACCAACCTGCATCATAAATTCAGCAGAACCCCATTAAATGCAAATGAAAGCATGATTATATCTACAAAAAACAAAAAGAATTCTCAACTACACACTTATAAACATAAATCTATCCTCATTTAGCAATTTCAACTAAAAAAAGTGGAAATAAAAATATTCTGGGTTTTTATATAAAAACAATGTTGATCTTAGCACACAATCAAGACCCTAGTGTGTTAAAACAAAAAACTTCTTAACCAATTTCATTACTTACACGTTCAATGCTTGTTTTGGCTCCAAACTTTGTAAATCAAGAAGATCAAACCGATGCAGAATCACATTCGTTCAGAATATTTGTTTCTTTGATGGATCATGTTTGTCTCTTACAACTATTCACACATATAAACTAATATTAGAAAAAGTAATGAAGACTTTTGCATTAATTGTGACATGAGTCATGTCTAAACTTTTTGGGCATTATATACTGATGTCTCATTGTGTTTTAATGTTATTAATCCCAACTTGTCACTGTACTCCCGTACAAATCAATTAAGAACGAAATATATTGCTTAACCGGAACAGTGTACGTAACTGAACCGCTTAATTGAACCGTACAGTGAACAGTACATCGGTCCGTTGGTAGGGGTAAAATGGTCAGATTTTGGCTAAATTGTCAAAACTTGAAAGCCCATTCTCACTTTGCCAAAACATGAAATTAAAACTTGGTCAACTGCCCTGCCATGCAATTTGTATAAACATGTCAAAATGAGTGTTCTTTACGTGCCTGCGATTTTTTACACTTCAGCCGCCGCTCAAAAAAACCCTAGATCCGCCTCGTTTCTCGCCTCTGGGGTCATCGGCGGCCATCGCCGTGACCGTGAGAGGGCCCCAAGGTGCTCTGTTATGCGATTGACTCTTTTTCGGTAGGCGATTTGACAACAGGAGTTTTCAGATTTTGGTGGTGATTTCATCGGAGGCTCCATTTTTTGGGAGAAATGGCTTCGGCTTGTCTCGAACCTTCTGTGAATCTCGGCGATTGCACCTTCCCGGCGTTCTCACCCTCTCTCCGGTTTGTTTGAGGACGGCAAACAGAGCTTGAGTGAGGCTCCTATCGGTGTTTCTCGACGATTTTCAAGCATCGGATAGGTTCTTTTTTGGCAAGTGGTGGGTAGTTTCTTGGTCTAGCAACCCAAGCTTCTCCTTCCTGTTGCCGTACGGCGGCTCTCCTACGGTGGTGGCTCGGCGGTGCTCTGCTTCTCCGTCGGACGTAAGAGCTTGGTGCTCTCTTCCTCTCTGTGTTTGCCTTCAGTCTTCTCTCTATGTTTCTTCTATCCCGCCCCGCGTTTAGTTGTCGTTGGTTTCCCTGGTTCATTGTTTCTCCGAATTGCTTTGTCCTCTGTTGTTTGCTGTTGTTTTAGGTGTGATGGTTTGTGCTTAGGTTTTCAGTTACCGACAGTACCGTTCCCTAGCTAATGTCTTCACTAGGGGTCTTGTTCTGGGCAATGTGTATCCGCTAGTATGCTTGTTGTTAGAGCCGGCTTTTCTAACTTCCACAAGTCACCTATTGGCTCTATTTCCTCAGCTAACCTCCCAAGCCAAAGGTGTTAGACAACTGTTGATGAGTGGTATTTGCCCGAGACCTGTTCTGCTTCTGCAGGTTACTTGTGAGTTTCGCCATGGTTGGAGTTGATGGCTCTGCTGGATCAAGGGATTGAGGGCTGTCTGGCGTCGCGGTAGCCTATACCATCTCCACACAATTCCTTGGCATGTCTCACTTGTTGTACGCTTTTGAGCCTATGTCGGGGTTCTACAGGTTTGTTGCATCCTTGTGTCACTATCGTCTATGCTTCAGATTCTGCTTCTTCGTTAACGAGACAATGACGGGGTTAACTTTCCGTTAGAAATCTCCGTTGAATCGAAACGACGTCGTTTTGAATTGGTCTTATAATTTTATAAAAATAGTTTTTTTTTTATATACTTCCAATCTAACTATGAATATCACATCAATTCAAAACGACGTCGTTTCGATTCAACCGAGATTTCTAACGGAAATTTAACCCCGGCAGCATCTCGTTAACGGAAATTTAACGACATGCCCAAAATGGCCAAGTCAACAAAAACTTAACAATTTTATCGAAAGTCAAACTAAACGTTATGATTTAAATGATATTTCGAAAGTTCATGCTTTTTTTTATCCCAAATTTGAAAGTTCACGTATTTTCCGATATTTTTCCCGATAGAGCATTATGTTGTAGAAGTTTAAATTTTGTTGGTTTTAAGACTTTTAATTCAAGCTACAATTTTTAAAGTCCTTCACAAATCTCAATCACCCCTATAATTTAAGCACTTTTATACTGTACATTTTTGATTGAGCATTAATGTTTAAAAGATTTGAATCTAATTATCAATAAAAAAAATTATAAACACAAAACCATGTGTTCAAAATCCAACAAGATTTGAGAGATAAAAGTCAACATTAAAAGCATCTTCTATTTTTTTAGGAAAGAATGTACAATTCAAAACTCAATACTCAAATATAACTAACTAGTCAACAAAAATTAATAACTCGCCAAAATTAGTTATTCAAAGTAATCAATAACACGCCATATTTGAAATTAACTAATATATATATATATATATTGACTTTGAATTCATGAATTTCAATTTATTACCTTTTTGCACTTTAAGAAATTATATAAAAGGATACATAGGGAAATAGTTTAGATACACTTGAAGCTTCAAAATGTCTTCCATCCCAAATAGATTCAATATTTATGGTGGTGATACCTCAAACCATCGTGAATCACTTCCCATCGAAATGAATCACAACTCCAAAATGGTTCGCTCGATGTTCATTACATCTGATCGCATGAACCATAGAGATTCGTTTCCTTCTCCTCCTTCCCTTTCTTCTTATCAAAATTCACATGTCTCTTCATCTTATGTTGGATTTAATAATTCACATATGACAAAAAGAAATTTTGATTCTATTTCTCGTGCCAATTATTTCCCTACTAAAGAGAAATATCATTTTACTCAAGTATCTTTCACTCAAACCATCATAAATAGGTATACAACTATTGTTCCTTCCAATCTATTTAACAATGTCCACTATGACATTGAACGTGTCAAACGTGCCATGGATTCTACAAATACTTGGAACCCTATATCTCATCTTCCAAAGTTTCTTGATAACCAATCCGGGATTTTGAAGCCTACCCCTCTAAATATCGTGTTTCCGCACCAAGATTTTCCTGATCGTCAACATTTAGACATGGTTTCCTTGTCATCAAAGCACAACCGTGTTTCGCAAGCTGGTCGATCCCTGAAGAAAATTCCCAAACCAACCAATATTTTTGAAAAAATTGGTTCTTATATAGATTCTGAAAAAGATGAGAAAAATGATGACGATCATTATGATGGTCGTACACATAGTCTACCGTATAAGAAATTTGGTCCCTATACATGTCCTAAATGTAATGGTGTGTTGGACACCTCTCAAAAATTTGCTGCACATATGTTATCTCACTACAATAGTGAGACGAACAAAGAAAGAGATCAAAGACTGCGTGCAAGAAATAAAAAAAGATATCGTAAGTTCATGGAAAGTCTCAAAAGATCAAAACAGAAGATATGATCAGTAGCGGTGGATTAAGCGAAGATGAAACTTTTCAACATCTTGTGAGCGTAAAAGAATAGCTTGTTCATGATTTTATTTTCTTAATATCTATTTTCCAACTTATTTTACATAAAAAAGAATCAAAATTGTCTTCTAATTCTAGTATTTCAGCATATTTGTTATTACTAGCAATGGATATACATATTTTCATAGAAAATTGTAGTTGTTATTTGCTCTTTATAGCTTATGGTTTGCTTGTTTTTATAAAGTAATTTCTTAAATTTTCTAAATTATGAACTATTTTCAGATTCATCTCAAATAAAAACATAACAATAGAAATAAATTAATAGTTGTAAAATTATTTTAATATGTGATTTCTTAAATTTTCTAAATCTGATTTGTTTTGTAAGAGCAGATTTTTGAAATCTGATTTGTTTTGTAAGAGCAGATTTTTGGGCCGACCGTGGAATTTTCTCAAGTACTTGTCTACCAATAATTCACACATGAAGACATCTCATTCTTTAAATGATGAACCAAGTCGGATCCCATAAAACAATCTCACGTCCTACAATAACTCTTCCTTCTGTTCATCTTTTACATTACATAAAGCAAATCCATAATAAGAAACATAGCAAGTTTCTTCAACTCTTTCTCAGAAACTCCAAGTACTCTCATTGAAGAAAACTTTGTGCTTTTTCCCTCTAAACGCAACCCAACTGTTTCAGGTTTCTTCTTTACCCCTTATGATTCATCTTAACTTTCAATTTCCATATATCCAACCATCTATCAGTAAAAGCATATATATATTCGAGAACAAGACAGAAATTGTGTTGGTTCCGAGTCTAGATTAAAAATGCCTAGTTGAAGCAGCTTTCTCGTCTCTATCGACACTAGAATGCATCCTACAAGTAAAGCCAACCAAACCATCCTAAAGGCATCTTCATGCTTTCCGTTCAGACTAGACCCTAACAATAGAGCACACACATCAACTTGTTCATGAAACTTCTTCGTCAAACACCTTACGTAAATCCTCTGCCCATATGAAAAAACCCTAACTTGATGATGAAGCCAAGAACTTTGTGTTCATAAGTGAATGTTCTTAAAGTCGTATTTATGCAACACCCCAACATTTTCTTGAACAAATCGAGACCTTCTCCGCTACTCTCATTCTGGTAACTGGTATAACCCACAGATCATTATCGTCTCATTTACCAAACTTCTTATACCGATGAACTATTGTGTTCCAGTTTAACAACGAAATATATCTTACACACATTTGATGAAACAATCTCTCTACTTGAACCAGCTTACCCGTCCTAAAGTACTCATTCACCATCCCTATAGACAGGGCCGGTCCTGAAAATTTGGGGGCCACAAACAAAACAGAAAATGGGGGCCTTTTTTCGCATTCTGATTTCAAATTAAAGCCATAATCAAAAGTAAAAATAAATTCAAAATTTCTAGTAAGTAAATCTCTAATTGCTTTTAACTAGAAATTAAGCATGAACATGAATAGTTATTAATTTAATGTTACTATTTCAAAAAATTATCTGTCATGACTTAAAAAGAAGAAGCAAAAGAGGCTGGAAAAAAAAAGCAAAGTAGAAGAAGGCTGAAAAGTCATGCAGGAAGGAAATGAAGACAACAAAGGAAATAGTTGGGCTTTTACGTTTTTAAAAGGCCCACATATTATTAACATCATTTATTACCTTTCTTTGTTGACCGTCATCATTTATTACCTTTATCTGACGTGGAGAATCTCTCTGTGTAGTGTGTATTATTTGAAAGTTAGAAAATGGGGCCTTTAAAAACGGGGGCCCAAAACAAATGTTTCTTTCTGCTCTGTTCAGAGCCGGCCCTGCCTATAGATTGGTATTATATCTTAGCCTATATGACTATGTTGTATGGAAAAGGAAACAGATATACGGAACCGAAATGTTTTGAAAATGAAAAAAGATTTTTTAAGAATATTTGAAATATCGAAAAGAGAATGCTAACCTAATCATTGCATGAGAGAAGCTGTGCCTTCCACTTTCTGAGGGGGGACTAAGCTTAGGGGGGCTTATTGGGATGTTGATTTCTAAAGACTTTTAAAATTTTAAGATTCTATTGTTATTGGTTTGTAGATTCTTATATTCTTAGTAAACTCTCATGTTATTGGTGTTGTGATTTTGCAATTCAATTAAAATATGGTGTTATTGGTGTATGGATTTTGTAATTCTATTTAAAATCTTTTGTTATTCAAAAAGTTGTGTATTTATTGATTTTGCAATTCTGTCAAACTCTATTGTTATTGGAACAATGATTCTTTACATGTTTACTCATTAACAACAACTTTCAAAATACTCTAGTTATCCTATGTATTTTAAAAACTCCTCTCGTTTCCACTATCTAATCATCGACTCCAAAATAGAAAACAAACACAAAAAATCCAGACATTCCATCCATAATATATAGCAAACAAAAGCCGTATCAAAACAAAAAGCCATGTTCGTTAAAAGAACAAAAATCAAAACCGATGTAACCAAATTCTCAGCTATTTCATTAACAGTTTTTTGACTTAACAACTTTTCCATAATATAATACAAAAAATGTATCAAAACTATGATGAAGAAACAAAAAAAATAGTTTTTGTACCTTTGCTCGCCACAAATAATGATGGGAGAAGATGAGTCTTTTCTCTACGTCAAACCACCATTATAAACAAATATATCAAATATTTTTCTAATAAATTTTTGAAGAAAAAAATCATCAAGAATCTACGATAACCCATAAAATTATTGTAATGATTTCACAAATTTGTGTAAACAATATTAGAATCCACAAAAATCTTTAAAGATTTTAAAAATCTCTCAACTTTTGAAATCCACAAACTTTACACAAATCAACATCCCAATAAGCCCCCCTTAGAAGTTAGGACCCTTGAGTTAAACATTATCTTTTCTTTTAACACAAAACATAATTACCTTTATCATCAACTTACTCTCTTTTTTACATCTTCCTCCTCAGTTCTTGTTTTCAGTTCTCCATTGCCATTGAAATCATGTTCAAATTTAATTCTATATAATAATTTATATCCTTTTTAAGTTCGTTACATAAATTTGAAAAAAATCAAAAAATAACTATAGGACTCCTGAAGCTAAAGTTAAAACGTTACTACTTCTGAAGGTTTGATGTTTATAGTTAGTCCTTTAGACAAACCCATATATAACTATAGGACTCCTGAAGCTAAAGTGATATACTTGTATTTGCTAAGTCTGAGAAATGTGGAAAGTGGTGCAATTTGGAGGAGTTCAAAATTTCACACAGATATGTTCAGCTTCCGTCATTTTTTGTAGGAGATGTTAGTATGAAATGTCTAAATTCAGAGACAAAACTAAGGTAGAGGTAAATGATTGTTTTTTTTTCTTCTATTTATGTTTCATCTATCTCAAAGTCATAATATATATATCCTTCGTAAATTTGGATGAATAATAGAAAATACATAAACAAGAAAATAGTTAGGCAAATACCTTTTGTGTATCGTTTATTTAATTAATCTTATAATTAATTTTACAAACCTTGGACATTGTATATAAGTCTCAAAAAACCGACACATATAGTTTGATAATTAGTCCCCTCTTGGCCCATTATTCAAGCTGGCTAGAAAAGATCTACCTAGACAGCTCTGAAATCCTATTCATTCTATAGTGGTTGCGGCTTATACTGAACACATATGGGTACTTTCCCATCAGATTTGACCAGGTTCTTGCTCTTTATGGTCAACTCTCCTCAGTTCACTTATCAATTAATGCATATGATGTGGACTCATACAGTTGGGAGGTTCAAAGTTCGAATTTCCAAAATTTTCAAACTGCAAAAAACTTGGGAAAGCCTTAGGCCAAAAACACATTGAAAGACTAGTCTGCCTCTGTGTTGTTTAAAGAAGCCACACCTAAGCATGCTTTTACAATGTGTATAGCCAACTGAATCGCTTGTCCACGAGACCTCGACTTGCTTTTTGGGAATGTAAATTCCATCTTCTTGCTGTTTTTGTTCGGAGTATGAGGAAAATAGGGCGCATATGTTGTTGAGGTGTGACTTTAGTGTTCATATTTGGAAGTTCATTGAAATCAGACTCCACCTTTCACTATGTTTTTTTTTTTCTCACATGGTCTTCACTCTTAGCGTGAATAAAACTAAAAGCTGTTATTTCTCCTTCAGTCCTCCGGAAACTTGCAGTCAATGATGCAGTCTACCATAATTGGAAGAAGAGAAATAACCTTTTCTACAATCAAGTTTTTTCCACTTTCTATAATCTTCAAGAATGTAGAAAAGGAAATCAGAAACACCATCGCTACCAGACAGAACAAAAAATAATTCAGGAACTATTATGGCCCTTTAAATTGGATTAGATAAATTATAACACTCATTATTGTGCTTGTAAATCTCTATGTTTCAAATGGCGCAAGACAAGGCATGGCGATGAAGTGCTGGTTTTGAGCCCCGATCCTAGGCGCACTGCACTCTGAGCTTTTGATAAATGATACGCAACTACACAAGAAAACATTAGAATTTAACTAAACCATGTTGGCACAATCTTTTAGTCTATCTCTACTAAACAAAGCCAAAGCCATGGCTTTAAAAACACTACTTTGCGTCTACATACACTTATTTTAACCCTAAAAACAAGGTTAAGCTCCTCCGTTGTGGGTAAACGGGAAACCCGATTCTACGAACCCGAGGAAAGGCTGCACAGCAGGGAACAAGAAGAAGCGAGAACCACTTAAAAAGCCAGTCGACTATCAATGAAAAATAGAAAAAAAGCCAATCAAACAAAAGCTAAAACCATGAGTCTGAAACAGAGAAATGAAAACAAAGAAAATCTAATCCAACAAAAGCTAAAACCATGAGTTTGAAACAGAGAAATGGAAACAAAGAAAAATCCAATCCCATATAAGTTTGAAACTTAAAGCAAAGCCTAGTTGTCAAAAACTCTAAAAATCCGTCTCATCATCATCTTCCACACACACTTCGTTATACTTATCTCCTCCTCTGAAATCTTCTTCAATTTCATTCTCATCATCCTCATAAATCAAAGTCATTGGAGTTCGAGATAAACTTTAAGATGGTCTTGGACTTTGTTGGGGTCGGATCCCACACATTTTCGGTAGGATCCACTTGG